AAGGGAAGATTTCTCCTCACTGTGGGATGCATTTTTAAAGTGGCACTACATATTTTTTCAATTTCAGTTTTATTGAGGCATAATTGACTTTTAAGACTAAATTTGTACATCATTGTGATTTGATATGTTTGATCTATTGAAAGTATTTCTCCCTTATAGTTATTAATAATTAACACATCCATCACTGCCCATAGTTATCTTTTTTGGTCAGAACATTTAAGTTCTACTCTCTCTTAACAAATTTCTGTTGTACAATATGGTGTTATCAGCAATAGTCACTGTATTATTCCTTAGATCCTCAGATCTTATTCATCTTACAACTGAAAGTTTGTATCTTTTACCAGCTTCTCCCTATTTCCCCCATCACCCCCAGCCCCTGGCAGTCACTTTTTCTATATTTTTCATGAGTTTGACTCTCTTTTTTAGATTCCACGTGTAAGTAATACATGCAGTATTTGTCTTTCTTGTAATACCACCATTGATTTCCTGTTTATATTTTGTGATTAGATATATAATGGGCTTCGCTGGTGGCGCTAGTGGTAAAGAATCCACCTGCCAATGCAGGAGATGCAGAGACATGGGTTTGATCCCTGGGTCAGCAATATAACGTGGAGCTGGAAATGGTACCCCACTCCAGTATTCTTGCTGGGATAATTCCATGGACAGAGGAGCCAGGAGGGCTACAGTCCATGGGGTCGCAGAGTCGGACATGACTGAGCACACACATACTGTCCATACTTAGATAATACAGACTCATAGGATAACATCCTTTTCTCTGATTGGTGACAGATTTCCTTCCTCATGTATAGTATCAGAAAGTTAGTAAATTCCAAAACCATGAGATATGAGTTCAGCTGAGACTGTGTAGGTAGGCTTCCCACATGCTTCGCTTGACATGTAAAACTAACAAAAGCAAATACGTTTCAACAAAGATCCTGGAGTGGCAAATGTCCACTATTCATGTGGACCATGTGGGGAGTAAGCACTGAATAGAGGGAGGGAGTATCCTTAACACCATGTACCACACATGTGGTGAAACTAATGGAGGCTAGACTGATTTCCAAGTTGACTCATTGGAAAAGACCCTGATGCTGGGAGGGATTGGGGGCAGGAGGAGAAGGGGCCGACAGAGGATGAGATGGCTGGATGGCATCACTGACTTAATGGACATGAGTTTGAGTAAACTCTGGGAGTTGGTGATGGACAGGGAGGCCTGGCGTGCTGCGATTCATGGGGTCGCAAAGAGTCCGACATGACTGAGTGACTGAACTGAGACTGATTTCCCAAGACTGAAGTTTTTTTTAACTCTGACTTTAATGTAGATTCATAATATATAGGAAATAGAACATTTAGAAGTTAAACCAATGAGGGAAAGCACACTGTTTTCCTTCTTCCCTGGGCTGGCTGTAGTTTTATGAAAATAAATTTCTAAGTGGCTTTTCTTTGCATTGGGCTTTGTGTCAAGAGGTGAAACCTGTATAACGCATTACGTCTGAGTTGGTTTTTTTTTTAAAGGTCTCAAGGACAGACATATGGATAATGGTTTAAAAATATAAATATGGTCTTTCCAGTCATAGAAATCTTCTGCCCCAAGAGGTGCTTTTCCCGCTTTCCCAAAAATGTAGGGCTCAGGTCTCATAAAGCACCAAAGCAAAATACATGGTATTTGACACTAAAAAAAAAACCCAACTGTGCTTTTTTCGAGTTTTGCAGCCCTGTGATCAGGCAGAATGACTTATAGTCAAATGTAGATGCCAACTTGCTGTATTACCTTCTAGCCACTGAGTCCTGTAACTAAGCATTTTTGTTCGGTAAAATTACAGAAGAGATGGTGCTTGGTGAGATATTTTGTTCTATTTTTGTACCTATAGTTCATCTAGGAAAATGTCACTTGCTTTTCTCACATACTTATCCTATTTATCCATTTCTCTGTGTGTGTATACATAAGGAGAAATACATACTTACAGTGTTATTGTAAAGACAGCTATTCACCCCTACCCTGCTATAGACTTGTCCTGAGCCTGAGTCATTTCATTATTGGGTCCACATGAGATTTAATGTCTGATTTGTAAATACATAGACATTCAGAATTTATGGAGGCTCTCTTAGGAAAGACCACCACCAATATAGGGTTAGTTTGAAAACCATTCTGTCCAAATGGATCTTACCAAGTGTTCAAATATGAACTAGTTCAATCTTGTTGGGGTAAATTTTATAGACAGTACTATAAGAATTATAAATATAATTTGCATAGTCAAAATTTTCATGAATGATCTATTTAGTATAGTGATAGATCCTGCATCAGATGTCATTTATGAAGATGACAACATTTTTATGAAGTAAAGAACTGTAGAATACTTGCTAAATATTCTTTGGTAAAATTAAGTCCTTCAGAGGCAAAGATTATTCTTAGTCATCTTTGTATTCCCAGCCCAATGTCTGGTATTGAGTAGGCACTTACTGCGTATTGAATGAATAAATGAGTGAAAGAAACTCATTTCTTAGATTGTCTGAAATAGATTAAAATGTTTCCTTGAAATAGACAAATACATACATGCCCATGCTTGCTGCTCTACTTTAAGAAGGAAGTTGATTTTGTTCTGTGTTTTTAGAAACATGGTCACTTTGGAAATCAGTCTCTTCATTAAAAAAAAGTATACACATTTTTAATGACACATTAGTTTCAATGTGGTCTCTTGAAATAAAGCAAAAACAAAATCCCTTAGCTTGTCTTGGAACTATTGTTCAATAGTTTAAAGGAATAATTTGTAATACCTTTTATTTAGGCTTTCCTAGTGACTCAGATTGTAGAGAATCTGCAACACAGGAGACCCAGGTTCGATCCCTGGGTCCAGAAGATCCCAGGAGAAGAGAACAGCAATCTACTCCAGTATTCTTGCCTGGAAAAGTTCCAGGGACAGAGGAGCCTACTGTGCTATAGCTCAAGGGGTTGCAAAGAATCATACACGACTGAGCAACTGACACAACACGTCTTTTATTTAGTGTATACGCACGTGTCTGTGTGCATGTGCGTGTGTGTCAGTGATGTAGAATGATTCAGTGCCAGAGAGTCACTTGGTCTAGATTAATTTAAAAAGTAAGAGAAAACTTCCATTTTCCAGAATATTATTTTCATTTATTGACTTTGTATTCATAATTTTGCTTAAATAACCTATCAAAGAAGGCACTTATATGATGTTGAGCTGTTGATCCTAATCATAAATAGATCTTATATTTACTTGGGATGCTATGTGATTCTGTTTTCCTTGTTAGTGATATAACTAAGAATTCACTATTTAAATTCATCTTGCACACCAAATTGTTGTTCATTCACTAAATCATGTCTGACTCTTTGCAACCCAATGGACTGTAGCCTGCCAGGCTTCTCTTTTCATGGAGTTTTTCAGGCAAGAATGATGGAGTAGGTTACTATTTCCTTCTCCAGGGTATCTTCCCAACCCAGAGATTGAACCCACATCTCCTGTGCCTCCTGCATTAACAGGTGGATTCTTTACCATGGAGCCCCCAGGGAAGCCCTCTGATAATTTGTTCAATAATACTTTCCAATATGAGAATCGTAGAAATTTATTAGTTAGGCTTTTGGCCCTAGTATCCCTGGGTTGGGAAGATCCCCTGGAGGAGGAAATGGCAACCAAGTCTAGTGTTCTTGCCTGGAAAATCCCATGGACAGAGCCTGTTGGGCTATAGTCCATAGGGTCACAAAACAGTTGGACATGACTTAACGACTAAACAACAACAACAAACCTTGTTTATAGTCATGCATTTTGAGCTTATTCATTGCTCCTTTAATATTTCTTCTCCTCCAGTAATCTTTGAAACAGGAAGGAGAGGTTTTGAAGTCATTTTTGAATGGTATGGGTATAGAATCACAGTAGTGGACAATAGCATCTCCGTCGCTCTGTTTTTAATCTCTTTATGGAGAATACAGATAAATGGTGGAAGGGAGCATTTTAGAATAATATGACTAAATTAGCTATGGAAAGAAGAAATCAACAAAAGAGAATTTAGGAACAAATTGTAGAATGCCACCTGGGCTGATATTACATTTGAGATGCTCTGTTCAAAATGAAACCTGCTTATTTTTATGTTGCCATAATGATTTCCTGTTTTTAAAAATACCCCCATTCATACCCATATCATTTAGATTACAAATCTGTATCAAACTCAGAAGTTCCCTTATGTTTAAACATAAGTTGAGGCTAAATGTTAAGACCTTCTAAGATGTAGAGGTTTTGAATTTTGGAGCTGGCAGGGAACCTATGGCTCAGGAAATTGAATGACTATTCCCATTTTATGCCAGAAACAGGTCTAGTAGGGCTTTGATTTTCTGATTACCCAAATAGTGCTTTTCCCACCACTCTGTTGTGGATAGCCATTTTTAAAAAATTTGTGATCCTAGAGCATTTGATCCCTGGATAGTTTGATGTGTAATCTTAGAACATTGAAAATTTTTATATAAAATTTGGCCTGTGGGCCAAATACAGCCTCCCATGTGTTTTTATTAAATGTTTTATTGGAACATCAGTTCAGTTCAGTCTTTTACTGTCTATGGTGCTACAATGGCAGAATGTGTAGTTATAGCAGAGATTGTATGACCTGCAGAGCTGAAGATATTTATTATCTGGATCTTCAGAGAAGTTTGCCAGCCCTTAGTATAAGGTCAGGATGAGTAAATTAGTTTTTAAAACTAACACTATCGATTTAAAATAAATTGGGAGTTATATGTGCTTTCTGAAAAAGCTTTAAGGGGTTGGCACATTGTTGAGAAATACAAATGATCTTTCATAAAAGAATGCAAAACCTACCTGCCTTAAAAATAGAACCAGGTTTTCTAGGGACTCTTGAAGCTCCTGGACTTAGATTCTAGTCTCCAGAATGAAACCTGTGACTGACACAGAATGGGAACTGTCTCAGACTGTCATTGATGTTGTGCTAACCTGGATGGAACTTGAACACTCACCAAGTGTCCTTCTTGGCAGGTGGAGTGGATCCAACAGCAAGTGGTAAAAAAACGGAGCAAGAGGGATTATGACTTCAGCCGCACCCAGTCCACCTACTTCAATGACCCCAAGTGGCCAAGCATGTGGTATATGGTGAGTTCGGCTGGCCAGGCCCTGTGGCATCCTGTTGTGTGTTGTTCAGTGATGTTGGGACCAGGAAGACAGAGAAGCGGTGAACAGGGACTTTTTCCTGTTTCAGGTCCCACCATTGGAGGTGGGTTAATGGCCCATGCTATTTTCTGGATCTTTTTTGAAGTTAACTCTCTGGTTCTAAGGAGAAAGAGGGAAATTCTGATCCTGAAGGTGTTTCAATTTGAGATCTTCCTCTGTGTAGTAGCTTTGTTTTGGGGTCAGAAGATGGGAAAATAATATAAAGGGCAGACACCCTGAGACTTACCAATAGTTGTGTTCACCTCTGGTACACATCAACTCTACCCTAAAACCAGTCTGGTTACTGGATACTGGCTCTTGGAAATCACCGAAATGACTCTGCTGGTAGGTAACAGATTCCTAACTTGAGTTACCTAAATGTACCTTCTCACGTTGGGTAACAATTTTTTAAAAACTAGACTAGGGAAAAAATAGTTGAAAAGTGTTTGACTTGTAGCTAGTTCAGTGGTTCAAGCCCACTTCAGTATTCTTGCCTGAAAAATCCCATGGACAGAGGAATCTACCTGGTGGACTACAGTGCAAAGTGTCTCAAAGAATCGTATGTGACTGAGCATGCACACAGTGGTTCAAGCAAAAACTTTCCACAAGGGAAACTTAATGTGTTGGGAAGAATGATCTAGAAATTCACTTGATGTTGCATCCTTTGAAAGTTTACTTCTCTAGCCTTAGGCTTTTATGTTTGTGATCCCTGAAAAATTGACTAGAATGTGATACTTTATCATGAAATTAATATGTTACCAATTTGCTCTATAATCTGCAAGAAGACCTTAACTTTTCTTTTTTTAAGTTTTTAGGAAAATCTTTATTGTAAATTATTGCCAGAATTATTCCCCCCAGTCTACCTTGTTTTTTTGCAGTCCCTGACCCTGCTTCGCTATACATCCACTGCATTCCAAATACATGTCTCATGCTTTTCTGCCTCCTTGCATTTCATTCCTTCTTCCCAGGGTGGCCTTCTATCCTGTCCCGGCTCCTCAGGTCAGAATTCTCCATCCCTCAGAGCCCACACCTGAGGCTGACTGTTTCATGTCTCCCATATCCTTGTCCATCACTGTCTCTCCTTCCTCTGCTCTCCTGAGCCCGTTGTCTCTGCCGCTCCTGACATCCTTCCCTTGGCACTTTGTTTTATAGTTTTTGTTGTATTTTTAAATCTCCTCTGTTATTTGTGTGTGGGGGTCACTTGTATCCTCCCATCTAGAATGTCGCCTAGCACCTAGCTACACTAGGAATCTGTTCATTTGGAGATGGGTGACTGTGGCTGGTGCTTCTCCCAGTCTCCCTCCTCTTAGTCTTCCAGAAGTGGAAGATTGTGGAAAGATGTTGGACCCCAACCAGAGTTTTACACAGAAAACTCTTTCATGCATAAGAGGAAATAAAGGAGCCCTAAAGCTAAGTTCAAAGGGAGATGAGACTCAAAAAGCGTTTGAGTAGAAATCACCTGAGGGAACCCTGATGCTGGGAAGGACTGAAGGCAAAACGAGAAGGGGGCGGCAGAAGATGAGATGGTTAGATAGCGTTACCGACTCAACAGATGTGAGTTTGAGCAAACTCTGGGAGATAGTGGAGGACCGGGGAGGCTGGCATGCTACAATCCACGGGGTCGCAAAGAGTCAGACATGACTTAGTGACTAAACAACAACAATGAGGGGACAGTGAGACGCTTGCTAGCTTATTAGCTCCAAGACCAAGAAAGAATGAACCACGAGGGAAGGCATTAGAGGGAGTGTTAGCGGGAGCTCAGGAGCACTTGTCTATGCTGACAAGATGATGAGGATGTGATAGGATTAAGAAGTAGAATGGACGCAACATCCCCTTACGCCTCTCTTAAGGTTCAGGGGCAGTGAGACCCTTTTTAACTTGCCTTTCTTTTTTGCAAGAAAGAACCACATTGCTATCTGCACATGTCCCTCTGGACAGTGCAACTGGACAGCAGCTCTCCCCGACCGTCTCATCACTCCAGCAGGGCAGGTTGGGGTGTCGCAGGAGCCATGGTCAAGGTGACTCCAAAGACTTCAGTGTGTGTAGGGGAAGATCTCCTTACACCCAAGAACCTCTGCCATCTCTTCAGAAATTCTCTTTTTGATGTGAGGAAAGGTTAAGAGGGAAGAGCTTTTGTTTGGCTCTTTAAAATACTGGATGTTTTTCAACACATGCTTGATTGTAATAGTTCAAATAGATCACGTTCATTGAGCACTTACCACATGTCAGGCAAGGTGCTTACAGTTTATTCTAATATTTTTTAAATGTAGTTTAAACAGAGATGTGTGTTTAATATTGGCCCTGTGTTATAAGAGTTAGGAATCCGAGGCTCATAAAATTTAGATCATTTACCTAAGATCATCCAACCTGAAAGTGATGAAACAGAGATGCCAAGCCAGGCAGGTTGACGGGAGTCCACAGGATGAACATGGCATCCTATCCCCACCCTTCTACTGTTCATAAACAACTGTAGACAAGATGTTACTCCAGCCTTCCAGGAACTTCTAATCTGTCCATGGAGAAATGACTGAGGTTCAAGGAAGGATCATGGGTGCCATGTAGGATGGGCAAAAGTGTCTTGGGAGCAGCCAAAGCACTTGAAAGCTTCCTATTAAATACATACTTTTTCCTTAATGGAAGCAATGAGAAATCAGTTATACACCTATGTTTATGTCAGTAGTAGTGACAGAATTGGAGTCAGAACTTCAAGTCTGCAAACATGGATTCAGTTCCCCATTACTTCACTTATATGCCCATGATTGAATCACTTAAACCTTGTCAGCTAGAAAATAAGAGTATCTATCTCTTAGGTAAGAGTTAGTGACTGCTGTACAACAAATCACAGAACTTAGTTTTTAAGACAGAGATCTCCTGATTTCTGTGGGTCAGGCATGCAGAGAGGGCCCAGTGCTGATGACTTCTCTGTTCAGTGATGTCTGGGGCTTCAGTTGGAAGACTAAAGTTGTGACTGGAGTTGGAGGATCCACTGACAAGGTCATGTGGCTGGTTCTTCTCCACCTGGGCCTCACTGGAGGGCTGCTTCAGTGGCCCCTTGACATGGCTCTATCCTCCCCCAGGGTAAATGATTTAAGAGGTCATGTCAGAGGTGGTGATGTCTTTTATGATCTAATCTTAGAAGTCACTTCTGTAATTTCCTGTTGACCACATGTTTGAACTCTAATTCAGTGTTTGAGAGGTCTACTTAAGGGTGTGTGTACTAGGAGGTGAGAATGGTTAGGAAGCTGGTTACCATAATTAAATGAAATACTACATGGGATGTCTTTAGCACAGTGCCTGGCAGTGGAAAACTCTTTAAAATAAATTATAATTGTTGTTGTTCTTCTTTTGAATTACAGTACATGCTATCTTATTTTTATCTGTTTTCATTGCTACTAGTTGGAAAAGGAAATGGCAACCCACTCCAGTATTCTTGCCTGGAGAATCCCAGGGACTGTGGAGCCTGGTGGACTGCTGTCCATAGGGTTGCACAGAGCCGGACACAACTGAAGCAACTTAGCATGCATGCATGCATTGGAGAAGGAAATGGCAACCCACTCCAGTGTTCTTGCCTGGAGAATCCTAGGGACAGAGGAGCCTGGTGGGCTGCCATCTATGGGGTCACACAGGGTCGGATACAACTGAAGTGACTTAGCAGCAGCTGAAGAAGGGTATGATCATATGTGCCGCGGACATCCTTCAGAGCACTCAGTGACATATCACTGACACTGTTGAGATTCAGTGCTGGATTCCTCCTTCCTTTTTCTGAGCACTGGGCCCTGCTGCAGTGTTTTTTGAGGGTTACTTGGCGAACCTCCATAGGGTCCTGCCTTCAGCTCGTTAGCCTAGGCCTGGTCCTGTCAGTCTATATTTATCACAGGAGAACAGAGATTAAAGAATGGCATGAAGTGTGCCTGAGTGTCTCTTTTAATTAATTTAAAAGCCTTGCCCCTGTCGCTCCTCCCCTTGGAAACTGGTTTGTGAAACCACTATGTCCAGCCTTGAGGCCTGGGCAGTATATTCAGGGAAGGGTGCATTTACACGAGTTTGTTATGGAGACGATGGCGGGCTAATAACTCCTCTGACCTGAAACTCTGTGCTCGGGCTTCCAGGAGCTGGCAGGCTCCAGTCCTAGAAACAGAACTCGCTTCTCATTGCATTGACAGACTCCAGCATCTCCTCTTTGTGAGCCTGGTGGCAAGTGCTGACGATTTAGGAAAACATGATCTGTACTTCGAAGATCAGTAAAGCAGAAGAGGAATATATAAGTGCCAATGAGTTTGCTGGGCCAACAATTCTGCCCTGAAAGTGTCTCTGGGATTATGTGCATACACCCAGCTCCATGGGCTTTGGGCTCCAATTTTTCCTTATAGATTTGCTTCTTCTGTTAAAATGTCCCGAGTAGTAACGGATGCCCAAGCTTGGGTCCCCCTATAAGAGATTGTTATTTTTGGTATAGAGGAGGGCTCAGGCAGCAAGATTTCATAAGAATCCCCTGGTAAGTCTAGCAGGCAGCCAGGAATCCTGAGTTACTTATTCACTGCCCACATCTGTGATAAATGCTCAATGAATGCTAATGAAATAGATGAGAAAACTAGATATCAATGATCATCTTCATAGTTTAGAAAATAATCTTCTGTGTCAAACATTTTCCCAAACTTTAATGTGTATTATCTTACTGCCAGTATTCCAGTGAGTTGGGACCTATTATTGTCTTCATTTTAGGGCTTCCCAGGTGGCGCAAGAGGTGGATAACCTGCCTGCCAATGCAGATGATGCAAGAGATGTGGGTTTGATCCCTGGGTCAGGAAAATCCCTTGGAGGAGGGCATGAAAACCTACTCCAGTATTCTTGACTGGAGAATTCCATGGACAGAGGAGCCTGGCAGGCTACAGTCCACAGGGTTGCATAGAGTCAGACATAACTGAAGTGACTTAGCACACACA